AAAAATAAACAAGTAAACACACAGGACAGTTCCACACAGTAACTGCAAAGTCAGAGGCCGGCCCAGGGAATCTCTGGGACCTTTGGAAGGTGGGGGAGGAGGCAATCAAGCAATGTTTCTTGGAGAGAGAGAGAGATGTCTGCCTGGAGCTTATTTAGTACCCACATGGGCAAGAGGGAAAGCCTGGTCTCGGCCTTCTAGGAACCTGTTATCTAGCTGGGGAGACAAGACCCGGACACAGATCATATTAGTAGGACAGAAGTATGGAAGGTGCTATTTGTCTGTCTGAGATGCAACTAGGGCAGAGGTGTACCACTGGGTCCCCAGCACCTGCTACCTGGGGGGTGCCTGAGAAGTAGCTGTGGAGGGCAGACAGGCAGGCTTTACAAAGCAGCAGTGGTGCCATTATTTAGGGAAAAAAGAAAAAAAGAAAAGAAAGAAAAAGGTGCCTTTGAATCAGAGGACCCCTGGTCTGGCCCTGCCACTAATTAGTTATGGGAAAATCACTTAATATCCTTGATCCCCAGTTGCCTTAGCTGTAACAATCCACCTCCCAGGACCACCACCAGGTGCAAATCAGGGAATGTGCACATAATGTGCACTTGGTTAACTGTAGGACACTACGGAAATGAAAAGGATGATTCTCGCTGATGACACACACAATGTCACTTGATTTGACCTCCAGAAAAACCCTACGGAGTTGGTGAACTACTGTTACCAATTTACAGAAAAGGAAGGTATAGTTCTTTTCCAAAGGGGTCTGATAATGAATAAGCACAAAAGTTAGGACGCGAACCTAAACCAGATGATGCCAAAGTCTGAGCTTCTTCTCCAGTGAGGAATATTACAGAAGTCACATTCAACAGGATCTTTGAGGAAAAGTAGAATTTATATGGCCAGAGGGAGAAGGAGATGCACCCGTGACTCATCCATGCTTCAACTCCTAGATATTAAGAATCTATACAAACCACTTTCAGGGTCTGACCAAGGCACGCACTGAGCCCGTGTTTATTTGAAATGAATCCTGAGCATTTTTTCCATATTAAAATCTTCGCCCGTAATACTCTTCACAGTGTAGAGCAAGGCAAACTGAGAGGAGGCTAGGTAGGGGGTGATACTTCACTGGTTTTGCTCCTAATCTCACGGCCGCTGGAGTCATTAAACCTTTACAAGGCAGGGACAAGAACCACCGCTTTGTGGATTTGGAAAGAATTCCTATTATGCTATAATTCCAGAATCTGAGATACGTGTGAAAAAGAAGTCAAAACGACTAGATTTTTCCATATCTCCTGCCATAAAAAGGTGTCTGCTTTCTCTATAACTGCTGATGATCTGCATGCCCACATCACACTCTAAACTGCACCAGCCCCCCACTCCTTTGTTGTGGGGACACTCAAACTGGAGCAAGGGCATCCAAAGCAGTCAAGGCTTCTCTTGTTGTTTTAAACAAACTCGAGGTCAGCAGGAGAAGGCCCCGGGCAGCAAGTTACAGGATGATTAGATTTCCAGCCCTGGGTCCCCCTCCACCCTCCCCAACTGTCATTCACGCCCCCTGATCAGAAGCAGATCCTGGATGGAGCCAGCCAGGCTCTATGACCAGTCATAATGGGAAAGGGGGAAATGTGTTGTTGTTGTTTAATTTAGGCCGTATATAGCTTTTCCAGAATTGAGTATACTAAAGTGAATTACTCATTTTTCCTCTGAGGTCTCTGCTTCAGCTTGTTTCCATGAGGACTCTAGTACCTAATGGCAGGTTAAGTTGGTAAGCAGACCTCATGATGAGCCCACATCTCACAGGTGCGTCCAGCTGAAGCGCAGGGGTAGCTGGACCCGGAGGTAAAGTCCTCCTGCAAAGAGCACTGGAGGGCGAGTCCAGAGAGCTGCATTTTAGTGAATTAACTACAAGGGAAGAGCGGGAGACAGGATGGGTCCCAAGGCTGGAGCTCCTTCCCTGATTCTATGTTTATTAGACATGAGGTCTTGGCAAAGTCACTTCACCACTTTTTGACTGTTTACTCATCTACAAAGAAAACAGTTAACATTTATTGCGTATACTATAGGTGCCAGGCACTGAATTACTTTACATACATCATCTCCATTTAATAGATGAGCCTACTGAAGCTCACCGGGGTTAAGTAGCTTGCTACACATTCCACAGCAGGAGCTCAGATACGCCCGTACGTTCAACCCCTATGCTAAACGGAGGGAGACCTTTAAGATTACCTAGCTGTTGGGGCTTCTGCAAGGCTGAAATGCTTAAACATGGTTCACAGGTTTCTACGGCACATAACAGCCCCTAACAAAGGCTCATCCTATATCCAAGGCCGTGGCACGTGACTGCCTGTTTCAAGGAAACCTGAGAGGTCAAGGAGCACTTTAATTAAAACACCAACATGACAAGAGGAGAAAAGCAAGCCAAACTAAACTCCTCGAAGCAGATCTTTCTCAGAAATGCTAGCATTTCAAGAGGAAGAAGGGGCTGGTCTTGGCCAACAGCAGGGAAAGAGCTGCTGAGCAGGAGTTTTGCTTGAAGAAGGAAGCATCGGAGAGAGGGGCAGCCCTCAGTGAAGCTTCTTTAGCACCCTGTGTCCATATAACCCAGCACAACAAAGTCCGTTCCCACAAACAATGGCGTTTGAGTCTCAAAGCCGACCCCATGAGTGAATGCAAACACAGATGAGGAAAATGAGGGCTGCGGAGAGCGGCGGTTCGCCAGGTTCACGTGCCTCTGAGGAGTGCCACTGTCCACTGCACCGGGCCTGGGAGCTGTCCCACCAGGCAAGCCCATGTTAACTGCATGCAGAGAGAGCAAAGGGCACGTGACACCCCATCCCCATGCTATTCTTATCTTAACCACTCCTGGGTTATAGTCGGCTTCCTAGAAGCACTCAATTAACTGATCCTCCAAGTGTCAAAAACACCTGTTCAAACCTTAGTACAAGATATTGTACAATTATTTGCCTTCCGTGACAAACTTCTTTTCCACGAAAAGCCATTCTTCCCACAGAACTCACCCCCACACTGTCAATTTGGAGCAAATAGTAAAATTAGATTTTATATCTCTCAGTTTCTGAACACAAAGATCCTCAGTCCACCTTTAAGAAACTACTAGAGTTGCCAAATGGACTGTTTTTATTTTAAAGGTTGGAAAGAATTCTACTAGTCCCCATCCCCCTTCCCAATTTCAAACTGTTGATTGTGTGCCTGGTTTACGATGTTATTAAAAAACAAAGAGGGGTCTCAAAGTTTACAACCAACCCCCAGAGTGGGGAAGTCAAAAGAAAAACTTCATGAAGTGTGGTTCAGTACCATCAGCAGCTTGCATGTGATCCAGAATAGGCAAGAGTAGCCAACTGCCGATCTCTTGAGCAGTTAATTTGGATAGGACAGCCACTCTCAGTTTGAAATCAAGTCTGCAAAATGGAAAGAGGGCTATCAAATAAGCTAGGGATAGGCTTGAGCCCCAATTTTTATTTGCTGTAGACTTTGAGCGTATCATTTAACCCCTTTTGAGCTTCTGGTTTTCCAGTTGTATAATGGGGATATTAGCACTTAACTTGCATGTAGTATTCTTAACTTTAGCTTCCTTCCTTCTTGGTTTCTAATACAGGTCAAAGATAAGCTTCCAGGTTCTGGCTAATATAAACATGACTCAAGGATCTGAGAGGAAGAATTTATGACCTTGGTGGACAGGACGCCCGTCCCTTATGCCCACACGGCTGGGGTTCAAGGGCAGAGAACAAACAGAAAATTCTGGAGGTGGAGCATGGACAGCTGTGAAAATGTAGGACTCACAAATTACAAGACCGGATCACCATCGGATTACCACCGGATTACGCTCCCCACCCCTGCCCCAAATGGGCACATCTAAAACAGGGTGGCCATACCCCAATTGCCACGAGGTGACCATTGCTCAAAATAATTCTGGAGTTGGTCCCAAAGTCTGTGGTACATTTTTGCATCCTCAATGAGGACTTCATCCTTTAAGGGAAGATCTATATATTTACACTTGCACGTGAGTAACCTGTTCGGCAATTGAGAGTTTGCAAAGTATTTCAACATTCACGACCTCTCTTACTCTTCATCGTAATAGTATGAAGCAAGATGGTCATTCCTGGTTTTAAGAATGTACAGCCTGTCAGTGGACTGCCAGGTCCAGAGCCTCGGTCTCTCGATTTCAAGTCCCATTTTATCTTCACTTTGCCACCTGGATGTGAGAAGGGAACGATATGCCAGAGAACACCAGTGGCATGACCACTGTTCCAGCAGCACAGCCATGGTGTGAAGACAGCCCAGAAAATGCCTGTGACATCTGATGGCATCTCCTCCCCCCTCTTCTGGGGCTCAGCGTCATGGCTCAGAGCTCAGACTCTGAGCTAAGGGGCACCTGGGTTCAAATCATAACTCTGCCATTCCAAGTGAACTTGAGCAAATTATTTTTACTCCTGCAGACCTCAGTTTCTTAACTTGTAGAATAAAGATAAGAACAGTATCTAGACTTCACCAGATGGTTGTGAGGATCATGCAGGCCAAGTATTTTAAGGGGGACTTTGCGTACTTTCATGATACTTTTAGTATATACGTGCATATATAGATTATACTTCTGGTGTATACGTATATACATATATATTTAGTATTTGAAAATACTTTTTTTTTTTTTAAAGATTTTATATATTTGTCAGAGAGAAAGAGCACGAGCTGGGGGAGGGGCAGGCAGAGGGAGAAGCAGGCTCCCTGCTGAGCAAGGACCACACCCCCCCCCCATTTGGGACTCGATCCCAGGACCCCAGGATCATGACCTGAGCCGAAGGCAGATGCTTAACTGACTGAGCCACCCAGGTGCCCTGGAAAATACTTTTACTAATAGCATTAACCACATGAAATAAACAGTATTAATCAAATCAAATTCTACTTCATCTGCCAACTGTGCTGGCTCAGATATTCTGAAATGGGATCCAGGGGCGGTGAGCAGGGTTGAGGACGGTGGCCCAGACGCTTACCGCGAGGATGGCGATGACAATCCCCACGGCGCAGAGCACGGCATCGTTTATCGTCTCACCGGTTTTCGGGGGATACTTGATGCTCTCGTCATTGCAGTAAAACCCTCGGTGGTAAGGCTTGATGGTGCTTGTCTCAATGATGAGGAAGGGCAGGCCAGCTGCTCAAGATGGAGCCACCACAGGGACCAGGAAAAAAAAAGAGAGAAAGAGAGAGAAAGGGAAAACATCAATAAAAGGAGGCCAGAGAAGCACTGACCGACAGCAAAGACCACCCCGAACAACAGCATTGACAGGGATAGTAATTCCTTGCATTTGTAGTGACGTCAGGACCACAGAGAGCACTCAGGACATGCATGCCCTCCCTTCCTTTCTGGTCACCCCCAACAGGAGCACAGAATGACCCTCTTGTCTTGTCCAAGAGCGTGTGCTGTGGGAGGCAGAAGAGCTGGGGCAGGAGCTTTGCCCCTGCACACAACACCCTGCTAAAGTTAGACCCAATTTGTAATAATGACCAACAGAGCCTCAAGTCTAATGACGTCTCGTTCTCCAAGTGCGCCAGCTGTCACCATTCCCCGTTGGAGAAGCTCATCCCAAGGCTCTGCTGCTTGGAGCAGGGAAGGCCTTGGAGTCACAGAACCTGAATTTGAATCTCAGATCCACCACTCCCTAGCAACGTGGCCTTTGGTTCTAATTCTGTCTTCCTGCGCCTCAGTTTCCTCACAAATGAGTTGTGGGGACGAGGACGGAAGATTGAAGCCCACAGGACTTCTAGCGTGGTGCCTGGTACATAGTAGCTGCTCAGTGGTGCCCTTTTCAACCTCTTTCTTCCACTGAAGAATCACTAACAAGACTATGCGAGCTGAGTGGGGCCCTGCCGCACCAGGTCGCCCTCGCAGCTGCTGCCAGTTTATCAGTGTTAGCTCAGATGCCGTTCTCTTAAAGGTCATGGCAAATGGATTCCATCACCTGCCAGGAAAAGCTCCTCATAACACTGAAGCAAAAAGCGAAGGCCTACAGTATCTCTTGTCTGATCATTGCAACGGCCTCCACATCGGTCTCCTGCCCTTCACTGTCTCTCACACGTATCTACCAGTTCACTTCCTGACCACGAGCATGTCACTGCCTTGCTTAAGTCTCTTCAATAGCTCCCCATTGCACAGGACGAGATAAAGTCCCGCAGTCTGACCTCTGGGGTTCCCTGTGACCTGGTCCTCCTCCCTCTTGACTCATGGTCTGCTGCCCTCCTGGACACGGCCTCCATGGAGACAGTACACAGAGACTGTGTTTTGGTTCATACTCTTCTCTCAGACTGGAAGACCTCTTCTTCCCCTACCACCCAAGTTCAACACCAAGCTGCCATGCCACTTCACAAAGTCAAAGGTGAGCCGCTAAATGTTAGGACTGGGGAAGACCAAGAAAAATATCTTGTTAACAGCCAGCACTGACGGAACAGCTAACACCAGCAATGTGGAAGGTACTTTATACCCATTTTTGCATTGAATCTTCCAACAACCTGAAGCGGTCACATTAAATCATCATGTAAGCACCCATCGTTCATCTTCAAGCGAAGAGAACAGAGACTAAGAATATTTTGCTCATTCAGAGTCTCTCAGTCTACCCCCAAATGCCCGAATCCCCTAATTTAACTTTGCAAATTGGTTTCATCCAACTGTGAATTTCATTAGCTGAAAAATCCCAAGATAAGCGGTTGTTTAAAAGATAAAATTCCATTTTCATGTTTCTCAAAAAGGAATTAAATTCACGTCACATTGCTCGCAGCCCCAGACCGCCTCTTAAAAAAAAAATGTACCATGAACTCCACAATTTTTCAATTACTTTGGTCCAGACCACCAGCGATAAAAATGCTCACTTTCTAAAAAGTGTATTTAGGTATCACTGTGCATACACACATGGATTTATTTGGTTTTATTCTTTGGATTTATTTGAATTCTATGGCTATTTATTTTGTGACCCCTAACTGCTTCCTGCTAGAACAACAATTTACTTTATCAAATTCATACTGGTGCTTTGAAAAGAAAGAAACAGCAACACACCACAGCATTGTGCTTGACCTTCTCAAAGTAAACACAGAGGGGCCCTGGAAGGCAGTAACCATTAGCTCTTGAGACTCTGTCTCTGCGAAGGAGTGAAGCAGGCAAGGGGGGGGCACTGGGTAAGCATGGTGGCATAGAAATGACAAGAGTAGGCAGCCAATCTTCGGGGGTAGGGGGGCTGGGAGAGAAAAAATATCGTATGGGCCTGAACCATCTTCATTCTACTATGCAACGTTTTGAAATGTGGCCAAGTTGGCTATGAAAAGTAGCTGAGAAGCCAGCAGTATGATATTAATAGTCCGCTTTTAAAGTTCCACACATTGTGATAAAACGTCGAGCTCCACGTCTGAGCCTGGCCATAGCCTCTGTGGTGCCTGGGAGCCAAAGCGTTGCTAATAAACTCAGGAAGGGAAAAGACCCTGAGTGCCTTACATTTGTGCTACGCTCTTAGGCCCCAGCTTCTATTTTTAATAGTGTTCACATGATAGGCCTGTAAAACATATGTTTCTAAGGACAATAAAACACATATAAAAGAGCTGTGGAGTTAGACAGAACCGGGTTAATGATCTCAACTCTGCTCCCTGCTACTTGAGCACGTTAGTTCACATCTCCCCAACGCCCTTCTCATCTGTGCAATGGGAAGAACGAGATCTAGTCTGGGGATTGCCAGGATGATGTAATATGCCACTACCCTGACCCATTCATTTATTCAACAAATATTTATTCAGTCTTCACTATGTGCATGGAAGTACAAGCAATACAAAGACGGCATAAACCCTGCCCTCAGGGAGCTTACCAATTAGTATGGGAAGACGTGATGGAATAAAATCAGCACAGGAAGTTGCTCTAGTTAAAAGAAATCAAGCAACAGCACTGGGTAACATCAGCATGGCATCCGGCGCACACTATGGACACTCAACAGATGTTAAAAGGATGAAGTGGTGGGGGGCAATCCCACAGAGAAGGCTAGTAAAGAAAATCTGTTTATTCCGTTCCTTTGCCCTCTCTTAACCTGGGAACAATCCAAATCCTTTCTCTTCCTCCTTTGCCTAAGGCTCGGGGAGTTTCCGGTTCTGATTATATGGATGATGACCACAAACAGACAAGAAGTTGGCTCTGAATGTGTTCTGTTTAGTTTCTTGAAAAGCATGGAGATAGCATTTAGAAAACCCAATGGCTTTTTCTGTCTCCCCTACAAACTTGTGGTATGATTGGGGGGGATGCCAGTCAAGTCTTGACTTTGCTCCAGAAGAGAGTAACCTCAGATTTCCTTCAGTTGATGGGAAAAGCAGAAACATTTTCTCAACGGGGCAGCTAGTCCTCAAAAGACAGAGCATCATGCCTTGCCTCTCCAGGACACAGGGAAGAGGCTGTTCTTTTCCATAGCAGGATCTCCATTTCCAACACTGGCACCATCTTTATTACCAACCACTATAGTTCCCGATCCCTTCATTTCAAAAAAATTCCCAGTGCTGGTGCCTGGGAATCTTGAGGTGAACACATCATACATAGTACCTACCCTCAATAGGCTCATGGTATTTTAAGAAAATTACAAAAACAAGTGCATTAAAATATTTCTAAATGTGAGGACTGACTTATAGAGTACAGGGAGGGCCCAGCAAGACTACTCTACCAGGAACACCAAAGATGGCTCATGGAGGATGGGAGGCTTGAGGGAATCCTCATGTGAGTAGGAGGTGTTTTGGATCCAGAGACTAAGTACACTCAAGAAACTCAATGTAGTTTAGGGATTTCAGTAAGGCAGTCATTAAAACTGATGGCCATTATAAGAATACGATTTTAAACTTGGCTACAGAGCTGGAAGAGACACACAAGTAGACAATGAAAGGAAGAAACTGAAAGCTGGCACAGACACAACGATAGTAGCTAATACTTACTGAACGACTATTATGTGCCCAAATCGTGCTGAGGAACCCCACAAGAACGTCTGCCGTTTGACAAACCTGGATGCCTGCTATGTTCTCAGCACTGACCGGGCCACTGTGCTGACAGAAGCCCCAACCTTCAAGTGGCCCAAGGGCTAATGGGAGAACAGTCATAAAAATGAACACATGCAGTCCACCCTAAGATTCAAGGGGATTAAAGTGACTTACCAGAGACACGAGGACTTCTGAGTGCTTTCTAAAGTCAGTGAGTCACTTAAAACAGAGAAGGAAGCCCCTATGAGTATTGATAAATTAGCTACAGCTCAGCAAATTTCATGGCCTCTGAAGAAAAAGAGGCTTTCTATGGAACCGTCAAGGCAATAAATAGCATGGGTGATTATTCACTGAATATTTACCATGTACCAAACATGGGCTCAGTATCTAATTTAACCAACACTCTGAAGCCAATATCCTGGACTTTAGATTTATCTGTAATGAAAGGTAATTACAAGTTTTTGCAAAGCAAAACCAAAAAGTGTGTGTGTGTGTACATACCATCTGGTGATTCTAGACCCCAACTCAAAGCACTTCCCCTCCTTTTAATCAAGGATCAATTAACTTCCTATACCTCCAGGGACCTCTTGGCTTATGTAGGCTGCAGAGGAGGCGAAATACGAACTCACTGACAAACACTTAATGGGCAGAAAATCAAAGCATGAAGAAAGGCCTCTGTGTTGGGTTCGGGCCTTTGAAACTTCTTGGGCTTTGAAAAACTAACACTTGAGCAGGTTGGGTGGTTTGGGGGTGGGGTGTAAAAAAACACAGGGTAAGTTTTTGTGGCCCACCCATTGATAAAGTCATGTGGGAAGTGTTACCAAAGTGACCCAGCCCCAGAACCCTGCTCCCTTCAGCCCCAGCTTCACGTTTGCACAAAATTAAACACAGCCTCCTGCTCTCAAAGTGCTTTTTAGAAAGCCCGCGGTGTGCGTCAGGGAAAGAGTGGGGGTGGGAGAGTGAATAAGAAATCTCCACGCTTTGGCAAGACCCAACTCAGAGCATCAAGGAGGGGCTGCCCATGGCTCCAATAGACCAAGGCCTTCGAGTGCTTTCTCAGAGTTGTCCGGCTTTCTACTTCATCCAATCTGTAGTTACCTTAAAATAAGCAAAATCCAGGATCTGTAATAATTAAACAATAATTAAACAAACACCTACCCACAGAAGAGTCGGTGCAGAATCCTTGTATGGTATCAAGCGCAGACTCACTGCTCCAATCAGTGAACTCCACGACAGCACTTTAAGATTTTATTTTTATTTATTTATTTGAGAGAGAATGAGATAGAGCGAGCATGAGAGGGGAGAGGGGAGAGGGTCAGAGGGAGAAGCAGACTCCCTGCTGAGCAGGGAGCCCGATGCGGGACTCGATCCCGGGACTCCAGGATCATGACCTGAGC